AATCATTTTCTTCTTTTTCATGGGGCTTGGCCCAAAATATTTCCAATTCATAAGGGGCTGCAACGGGGATCCCTTGAACGTTCCCCATTCTTCAGACACACACACCTTACACACTCACACAACCTAATTCAGTGGACCAACCTAATAACAGATACCTAGAACCTTTTATGCCCTCATTGGTCAATTCTTCTTGCTTCTTGGGACTTCTAAGACCTTACTTAGGAATTACCCTGTTATTTACCAATACCCCAAATGCCTAATGTCCTCAATGGTCAATTCCTCCTGCTACTTGGGGGTCTTCTAAGGCCTTACCAAATAGCCCAGGCGAGTTTCATGCCTCCCATATAGTCATGGTTGTGTCTGAGGTAGATAAGCTTCCAGGGCTTCTCCAAGGTTTCCAGGAGAAATCTGCCAGTGGTGCCACACGTCAGGGCTGGTCTGTTGTCCAATCCGTCCCAGGAACCAAGTGGGTGACTCCTGGCTGGCTCGCCAGAAATGTTGCTGGGTGGAACCCCCAGGTTCGACTCAGTGTGACTCATATCAGCCAATAAATGAGAGACCGAGGTGGGAGAACAGAAAGGTACCTTTATTTCATTGCACAAGGTAAGGAAGCAGTTGGCACTGCTGTCACCAAGATTGCTCCTTGAAAATGAGGGGAAGGTTATTTCTAAGGGGTTTACAAGTAGAAAGTTCATACAAGTTACTTTGGCAACATTCTTAATCATACTACACAGGCGCAATGGAGTTTACATATAACTTCATGCATTGTCAGGATTTTGATGTAAAGTTATGGGACAGGCCAAGCAAAGGAACCAGGACTCTAAAGCAAAGTTATGGGGCAGGCCAAGCAAGCTGCTTTAGGCAGTGGAATTTTCCACAGCCTGGGGACCTCTGTCTTAACATACTGTGGTGAAGTAAGTTCCTTTATGTGGCCTTTTGCCTTGGTTCTTTGGAAAAACAGCTTGAGATATTTTTCCCCTAAACCCCGAGGAGTTACTTTTGCCCTAGTTTTTTACACCAGAGGGTTAGTTACTTTTGTCCAGGTTGATTGACATTTCATGGGTAAGCTGTAAGCAACTGGATGGTTTGCTACTTTTTGTCTGCAGCTTACCCTGTGATTGGTATGCACCTTGCAGGGATTGGTCAATATACTATACAAATGAAGTGACTATAGACTATGCAAATGAAGTGACTATGATCTACTGAGGGGATTGGTCTGTTTGTGGGCCTGCTGGGAGGACTATGCCTTGAAATTGCAAAGAAGTTTGCTTATATAAGCAGCCAACCCCACAGAGGTGTTTAGAAAAGAGAAAAGGCAAGAGAGGCAAGAAGAGAGAAGAGAGAAGCAGCAGAGAGAGGAGGTGAGGGACCTTCTAAAAGAGCTGAAACATGGGTCAAGGGCTGTAACACTGCAAACAGCAAAAAGCCTGGAGAGCCGGCAGCGACAGGCCTAGGAGGGGCCCTGTGGCGGAGCTGATAGTGATTGCAGAAACCTGCTGCTAGGAATGCAGCTATGAGAGAGCTGAACAAAGCTGCTACACTGGCTATGAGCTGAGTCAGTCAGCAGGTGGCTGAGAGACCAAAGGCATAGAGGCCTGCACAGCTGATTGGCGACTGAAAGGAGGTCTCTCCTGAGGGGGCTGAGAGGAGGCCTGCATGGCCAAGAGGAGGCATGTATAGCAAAGAGAAGGGCCTGCTTGCTTCCATGGCTGAAAGGAGCTGAGAGAGCTGTCCTGCACAGAAGAAGGAAGGGATGTTATCCACTTTAGGGGAGTCTTCTAGACTTTGCCTACATGCTTCCTGGTCCTGAGTTGTGCCGTTACTTCCTTAATAAACCACTTAAGTATGGTCTGTGAGTTCTGTGTGGCCATTGCAATGAATTATCGAACCAAGAAGAGAAGTAGAGAGTCCCAACGGGAGGACAGCTGCTGTCAGAAATGGTAAAGAAGTTGGAGAGGAAGTATGTCTGAACGTCACCTCATAGGAATCAGCTTTGGGCTGATGGTGATTCTCTCTCCTCCTCAAGTTAGAGGGCTTCAGGTGCTACTACTAGTTTACAGTGTTTGTATGCGTGTGTTTTTGTATGTGTGTGCATGCTAGCATATGGGTATACGTATGCACGTCTGTGGGCATATGCATGAATGCACGGGTTTGTGTTGGCATGTTTGTGTGTATCTATGTGTGTTGTGCATGTTAGTGTATGGGTCTATGTATGCACATTTGTGCATGTTTGTGTGCATATCTGTGGTGTTTGTGTTGGCATGTTTGTATCTGTGTTGTGCATGTTAGTGTATGGGTATATGTATGCACATTTGTGCATGTTTGTGTGTATATCTGTGCACATGTGTGCAACCTTACTCTCTGAGAAGTTGGATATTATATTGCTCACATAAGGCATTTCTCTTTGACTAGATGACTAATCCTGGGAAGACTATAAATGAAAACACTTACTTATTTATTCACTTACTTATTACAATTCTATCCACTACTTTACAGGTTTAAGAGATATGTGGTTAGACTTTTAAGACAATGTATTTCTTTTGGGTACTATTTCCAGTACAAAGGTGAAAAACAGAGATGAAGTGAAAAACAAACAAAAGAAAGGAATATACAGAAAGGACAACACAAAAAGTGGGAATAAACCAGAGAGGGAAAGAAAATAGAGACGGCAGGAAAAAGAGAAAAGGAAAGGGAAAGAGATGGGAAACAGAGGAGAGTGGAAATAGATTTAATAATTATACATATGCCATAAATTTCTTTCAACAGTTCTACCTGCATCCTACATATTTTGAGAGATTATATCTTTAGTATTATTCAGTTAAAAATTTTCTAATTTTTCTTGTGACGTATTGTTTGGTCAATGGGTTGTTTAGAGTTGGGTTGTTTAATTTCTGAGTATTGGACTTAGTTTTTATTTTTTAAAATAGATTTCTACTCCAATTCTTAGAAAATACACTCAGGATGATTTAAATCTTTTGGAATGTGCTGAAACCTTCTCTATTGCCCAACATGTGATCAACTTCAGTAAATGTGACACATACACTTGAAGAAAAGTGTATATTCTCACATTGTTTGGGGCACGGATGTTATATATTCATTAGGTCAAAATTGTTCATTGTACATTTGACATTTCCTGTATCCTTATGGATATTTTTATTGTTATATTAGCCCTTCAGTTAGGAGTGTTACCACCATCTCCCACTACGATTGTGAATATTTTGGTTTCTCCTTTTGCTTCCGTCCATTTGTGCTTAGTATGATTTGAAGCCATGTTATGTCTGCATAACCAGTTGCCATGGAGTCAATTCTTAGTCGTGGTGACCCCATGTGTGTCAGACTAGAACTGTGTTCCATAGGGTTTTTGATGGCTGATTTTTACAGATTGCCAGGACTTTCTTCTGAGGCACCTCTGGGTGGACTCAAACCATCAACCTTTCAGTTCGCAGCAGAGCATGTTACTCGTTTACACCATCCAAGGACTCCTATAGGTACACAGTCATTTGTAGTATTTTTGGTAAATTGGCCCCAATTTTTCACTGGAATGATGTATCTATATCCCATACATACAATAAGAGCTGTGAGGCCCAGGGAGGGCAGGATGCAGAGCTACAGCCTCTTCAGAATTAAGGAACAGATACAGATAGATTTACTTGAAAGTACACAATTATGAACTATTAAGCTTAGTATTTGTTCTCATAAATACATGACTATAGAAAAATTTAAAAATATTCTAAAAGTGCAATTTGGAATTTGATTTGTGTGTTCTTACTGTTCATAGAATGCAGTGCAATGACTTACTTAATATGACCCTTCTAGCCATAGTCTTTGTGACTGACACACAATGATGTAGTGGGACTACCCAAGTAAGGTGTGCGGAACCTGTGATGGTTGGGGTTGTGTGTCAGCTTGGCTGGGCTAGATTCCCAGTATTGTATGGCTGTCCTTCATTTTGTGATGTATTGTGAATCCTAGTCTCTATGCCTGTGGTTGTGTTAATGAGGCAGGATTGAAGATGTATTTTGAGTCATTCCTTTACTAGAGGGTGTGACTCAGGTCCCACCCTTACTCAAGTCATGCCCTTCAGTTGGGTGTGGCCTGCATCCAATGTATATACGTAGGTACTCTGGTGGGGTTCTTTCTGTGCATCTGGATCCTGTGTCCGGCTTCTCATTGTCAGACCTCCGATTCTTGGGACTTGAGCCAGCTGCCTGCCATCTGACCTGCTGATTCTGGGACTGGCCAGCTTCCGAAGGCAGCCCTGTAGGCCAGCTGGTTTGGGTTTGTCAGACCCTGCAGTCACGTGGGTCGGGAGAAACCTCCAGCCTGACGCCTGACATATATATTTGGGACTTTCCAGCCTCCACAACCACTTGAGCCATTTCCTTGATATGGCAGGTGAGTTCTGTGAGACACTGCAGCAAATTACAGACCCTAAAGATGGGAAGGAGAGTAGTAAGGGGAGGAATAGTAGTCATTGTTAGAAATGCTGGAGTGGTGCAATTTGGAAAAGTTGGACATTTGGGATATCTTTAACCTCTGCGTCATAGGAACCAGCTTTGTGCTGATCCTTATACTCATTTATAGAAGTTCACAGTTCAGGATTCTAAGTATACTTTCCAAGATTCTTTCACCAGAGGTTCTGTATTTATTAATACAGTGTGTCTAAAATTGTTCCTGCAGTGCCATCTGAATAGGGTTTTGGGCACTACTGGGTCGTGGTGTACCTCATCCACTGCTGTCCCAGCTATCTCCTGTCCCAGGAAGCAGTGGAACAAACCACACAGGCAGTACAGATTACAACAGGTCATGGAGAATTCCAGGAGCATAGGAAGAAATGCTTCCAAGTAGACCCAGGAACTAAGCTGAATCACAGTCTGGATCACTAGTAGCCACTATTCCGGCATAAAGCAATGTGTGTTATCACAGACCTAAAACATCCTTTCAGAATTGGGATCAAATCTCTGATAGTTTTGATAAATGATGTTTACCTTCTTTCCACTAATTCTCTATACTCTCACCCCTTCCCTCTATCAATGTCCCCCAGGCATTATTGAGGCTGCCTTAAAGGAACTTGTTCATGCATTCCCAAAACAAGTCATCATGATTATGGATCCACTACTTAAATCTTAAGAAGCCCTGGTGGTGCAACAGTTAAGTGCTCAACTGCTGTAAGGTTAGTGGTTCCAACCTGCCCAACAGCTCCACAGAAGGCCTGGCAATCTGCTCCCATAAAGATTAGTCTAGAAAACCCAATGGCGCAGTTTTTAACTCTTGTCACATGGGGTTATGAGTAAAAAACTGACTTGACAGCACCCGACAGCAACTTATATCTTAACCTTTCCAGAGGATTTGTTAAGAATCACCAACAAGCAAAAATATACAAAACCAGTTTACATAGGCCTTGACTTTTAAGTTAAAAAAAAAAAAAAGTAGAAACCACAATATATCTCCATTTTTAAATGTCTTTAATAGAAATGTAATACCACACTCCTCACAAACACACGTAATAATCCTCTAAGTTATTCAATCATTGTTATATTCCTATTCTGGGAATTTCCTCCTAATATGTCCTCTACCTAACTGCCTTTCATCGAGCAATCAGGTGTTCAATTAGGACAATTAGCCAACCTACAATAACCGAGTCTTTAATTACTAACTGCGATAGTGCTAATAAGAGGCAGAATGATGTGCTAGCTCCCCAGTGTTCCATTTTCCCCCACATGGAACAGCATTGGGAGAGCATCAGGTGGATGCAGCAGAGATGGAGAGGAATCATCTCACTGCCAATGAACTGTGAAAAAACCATTCATCTGGGTTAGGAGGAGTGTGAGGTGAAGGGTTGGGAGTAGAAATGTACTGAAAGTGGAGAAAAATGTCTCAGCTACGGCTCCCAGGTCTCAGCTGTGGCACCTGAAAAATGCGTATGAGCATGGCTGGTCTGAAGGTGGGTGGGGTGAGTCCTTGACAGCAACTTCCTCCAGAAAACAACAATGCACTGGCTATGTACCAAGACTGGTGAGGGCAAAGCAGCTTCCCACAATGAAGCCTACCTGGCAAAGCTACATCATCACCTATGGTAAGGCCTGAATGATCACATGTAAGATTTTGAACTGGAGCAGGACTTATTGCCTTTCCTGCCTTGTAGCTGGCTGGCCCAATGCTTCAGTCTTTTCAGGGTCCTGTTCAAATATAACCTTCATCATACAGACATACCCTGAACACACTTTTTAAATTAGTACACCTTGCTATGCTCTACTCCCTAAAATGCACACCTTCACTGTACTTCCATTTTATTCAATTATTGGTGACTTTACCCAGAATATAAGCTACTTGAAGGCAGGGAATTGAAAAATAAATTTGTAACATATTCCTTAATACAGTAATCTCAAATTGACATTTTCATAGCCTTCGAAAAATTTTTCTAGTAAAATTACTTATTTATAACTTAATGAACACTTCCACACAGCTTATTTTCATGAAACTATAAAAGTATCTAAGGCAATTTATCTAAACAGTATTTCACAAGCACTGTCAACAATCCTGTGTGAAGGGTCTCATGTGTGCAGTAGAAAAGGGCATGGATTAAACTACTCACATGAAGAAAATTGTTGTCTTTCCCAACCTAGGAGTCAGGAACTTCAAGAGAAAACATTCAGTGTTGTATTAAAGAATTTGACTCCACTTTTGATGCTTGACTGACAACATTTGAGATTCACCCACTCTCTCTTTCCCTTGTGCTCCACATCTGGGCAAGCTGCTAAAAAAAGCCCAACTGTTCTCTCCTTTGGTGCCACAAGGAAGTTAAAACCACATACATTTACCCTCACATAAGCTGAAGCCCCTAACCACCCTAAAAATCCAAGCAAGGCACCCTCCCCTGCTCTCATTTTGTAATAAATATTCTCATACACCATGGATATGAGGCATCATCAATTTTGGTATCCAAACCAAATTCTGATGGGGCTTCTGTTGTATGCTAAATTGTGACCCCAAGAAGGTATGTTCTTTACCCCAGTATCTGTGACTATGACATTTGGAAATAGGGTCATTAACAGATGTAATTAGTTAAGATCACAAGGGTGGGCCCTAATCTCTTTATGACTGGTGTCCTTATAAGAAAAGACACATATAGAGAATGCCATGTAAAAATGGAGGCACAGATTGAAATGACGTATGTACAAGCCGAGGAATGTCAAAGATTATTGGCCATCACCCGAATCCAGGCGAGGCATAAACAGACTTTCCCTTAGAATCCTCCACAGGACCCAACCCTGCCAATACCTTGATTTGGACTTCTAGCTACCAGAACTGAGAATATATTTCTGTGGTTTTCAGAAATGTGGTACTTTATTACAACAGTCCTAGGAAAACCAGTCTATCCTATTCCTGTTGATTGGCCACTAGTGAAAAATAACAAAAAAATTATTTTAGAAGTAAATACATAATACCAAAACCCGTTACCACTGAGTCGATCGTAGCAGCCCTATAGGACAGAGTAGAACTGCCTGAAAGGGTTTCCAAGGAGCTGCTGGTGGATTCGAACTGCTACACCACCACGGCTCCAAATATGTAAAGTTCCTTGTTTTTATACACACACAAATCCATTGTGTATGTTCATTCTTAAGGGGACTCTCATAAAAATTGATCTTTTCATATTATTTCTCTGAACTAAAGACTTAAGGGGCTCTTGTTCTTCATACTTATAGAGCATATACTTTGTATCTATTTCCCTGTGTGCAGTTTTATGTCACAACTCTCAAAAAAAGAAACCCTTGATTTATATATTCTCTATTATTTTTCATTGGAGCAACACAGGGAAGATACACAAAATATACAAATTGGGATAAAGTGGGTGGAAGGAGAAAATAACAGGAGGTGCAAATTTAAAGCTTGACCTTTGCCATACACATTACCAGCTGCCATCAGTTGAACTCTGACTCATGTAAACCCCATGGGTGTCAGAGTACAAGTGTGCTCTACAAGGAGTTCAATCCCTGATTTTTGTAAAGTAGATCACTGGGCCTTTTTTCTGAGTTGCTCTGAGTGGACTTGAACTTCCAAACTTTCAGTTATCGGGAGGGCAGTTAACCATCTGCACTACCCAGAGGTTCTGCCATATACTTAACGTTTATATAATTTCTATCTGTAATGGATTCTCTGATATTTAGCGAGGGGTCACCCATATTTAAGGCTTCCCAACACTCACTACATTTGTATGTTTTCTCTCCAGTAGGTATTTCCTCATGAACCAACTGGTATGAACACATGGTGAATTCCTTACCACATTCATTACATTTGTGGGGTTTTTCTCTAATATGAATTCTTTGATGTTCCACAAAGCTTGCAATTTGGACAAAAGTTTGGCCACATTCATCACATTTGTGAGGTTTCTCTCTAGTATGAATTCTATGATGAGTTGTAAGGCTTGATCTGTGATTAAAGACTTTGCCACATACATTACATTTATATGGCTTCTCTCCATTATGGATTCTCTGATGGCTAGTGAGATTTGAGCTGCACTTGAAGGCTTTGCCACAGTCAGTACATTTGTAAGGTTTCTCTCCAGTATGGATTCTTTGATGTTCTGCAAGGTTTGAATTATTGATAAAAGCCTTACCACATTCATTACATTTGTAAGGTTTCTCTCCAGTATGAATTCGGTGATGTTTCACAAGGTTTGCTCTTTGGATAAAAGCCTTGCCACACACACTACATGTGTGTGGTTTCTCTCCAGTATGTATTCTATGATGTTTAGTGAGAACTGAGCGCCACCTAAAGGCTTTGCCACACTCATTGCACTTGTAAGGTTTCTCTCCAGTATGAATTCTCTGATGTTCCACAAGGCTTGAATTATGAAGAAAAGCCTTACCACATTCATTACATTTGTAAGATTTCTCTCCAGTATGACTTGTATAATGAGTTAAAAGGCTTGAATTCTTACTAAAGACCTTGCCACATACATCACATTTAAATAATTTCTCTCCGTTATGGGTTCTCTGATGGCTAGTGAGATTTGAGCTGCACTTGAAGGCTTTGCCACAATCAGTACATTTGTAAGGTTTCTCTCCAGTATGAATTCTCTGATGTTCCACACGGCTTGAATTATTGATAAAAGCCTTACCACATTCATTACATTTGTAAGGTTTCTCTCCAGTATGAATTCGCTGATGTTCCACAAGGTTTGATCTATGGATAAAAGCCTTGCCACAAACACCACATTTGTGTGGTTTCTCTCCAGTATGTATTCTATGATGTTTAGTGAGAACTGAGCGCCACCTAAAGGTTTTGCCACACTCATTACATTTGTAAGGTTTCTCTCCAGTATGAATTCTCAGATGATTTGCAAGGTTTGAATTCTGACAAAAGAACTTGCCACATACCTTACATTTATATGGTTTCTCTCTGGTATTAGTGATGATTGATCCACACTTAAAGGCTTTGGTGCACTCATTACTTTTGTAAAGTTCCTGCACAGAATGAATTATCTGAAGATTAGCAAACATTGACCTTTGGCTAAAATCCACCCCACATTCATTACAGTTGTACATTTTTTGTGTAATGTGTGTTTTCTGGTATAATGTAAGCAATGAAGGATGCATGAAAACCTCCCCATATTTATTACAAATGTTGGTTTTGACTCTAGGAGGAATTCTTTGAAGTGGCGAAACTGAAGATCCATTGTTGATAGACTTCTCTACCTGATTACATTCATACATTTTCTCTCCTGTTTGAAATCTCTGCAGTTCAGCCAGATGTGACTGAAGGCTGGGTCCAATCTTATTTTCAACACATGTCATATACTTGTTTCCTTCATCTCTTCTATTATGTGGTTCTCTTCTAAAAATGAGGTTTTTGTTATGGGTCATGGTCACTCCTTTGTCATTTCTTTCATCACCTGCCCAATGACTCTCAAACTCATCTATATTTTCCCTGACTTTTTTGAAGTCAAAATTCTCAATGCCATAACTTTCATGTCTTTCCAACATCACTGTCTTGTGGAACTCTCCTTTATTAATGATCTCTTCTGGCGATAATTTCCTGATAACACGTGCAGGAGAGACATCTAGAAGATATAAAAAACCACAGGCTTCCTGTTAACTACAGGTAGAAATATTTTATATCGAAAAACATAATATTACACCAAAAGCAGGGTTATGGAACTTCTCAGTCATGGTCTTCAAATATTTAGGAACACAAAGTTAAAAGGCTTCCTTAATAAAAAAAGGGTGATTATATTAACTCAAATTTTTTTCAGGGAAGCCAGGTTTCAAACACCCTATGATCAAACCGCTTACACTAAAGACACATAAGTCCTAAAGGAAGAAGCAGTCTTCTACTGCCATCTTAAAGCACACACCACTTGATGTAGATATGCGGATGCTTCATATTTGAAGAAAATATTGTATTAATGCATGTTGATACATAATTATTGCACAGAAAAAAATGGTAAAGCACAGACCTATATAATAGTAACACACAATAAAATTACCTAATGAAGATGAATAAATGACAATTCAGAATTGCCAAACAAAAAAAGCACTGAAAAAATCAGGAAGAATTTTAGAACACTTGTTTTAAGTATCTGTTTAAAAACAAAACAAAAAATCCACTATCTATGTCTATGCAGAATAGGCATTTTGCAATATTAACAACTGGTACATTACAATTATACTCCATAATAGATACTGAAAAATCATCCACTGTAAACCATAATAAAAATACATAAAACATAGCAATCCATGATAAATTCAGCAGGTACATAATAAGAACTACAAATATACAAAATTATAGTCTGTGGAATTCTAAAGAATTCTCTCTTAAGAATAAATTACCCAGAAGGAGTACACAGTATGAGGAAGAGAAAATATGTTGAGAATACCTGACTTCTGAAATATCATGTTCAGACAAGTACATAATATTAAAAGAATAAAAATTGGGATTGACAGAAATCACAATTATATTTTTATGCCTGCAGTTATGTAACAGTCAAGAAACAGCAACTCCCTGCATAGTACTCTTTAATTATACAGTTCTTTGGCCACAAGATATAAGTAATACAGAATGTGTGGTTTGAAAATTCATCATATAGGGTCAGAGAAAGCATTGATAGGGAACAAATTATAAAATAAAAAACAAGATATTATAGAGATAAAGGCCAATCTCATATTACATATGACAGAAATTGATTTATTAAACAAAGGTAGCTTTTGAGTTCTTACTATAGACCATGCATTATTTTACATAATCTAACAGCATTAACTTGTTTAAAAATCCTTTGTATAAATTATTACTATTTTTCAAAGGGACAGCAAGCCCACAGGGCTTATGTATCTAAGCCCGAATTCACACAGAAAGTAAATGAGAGAAACACGATTTGAGCCAGGGCCTGTAGCCTCAGACGTGTTCTTAGGCATTAAACACTAGTGTCCACTCAGGCAGAATAGATTACAACAGGTCACAGCAAATCCCAGAAGCTTGGAAAGAAATGCTTGAAGGGACATACAGAACTGTAGCTGTCTCTAATAGTGTTATTCTGCCATCTCCTCTGGATAACAATATCTGAGTCATCACTCCGTGAACATGTTGACTTAGTGACCAGACCATGGTGCTGTCTAAGCTACCTGTCCTGTGGAGGTGTCTGTCGTTATAAAGTGTGTGCAGTGTGCAGTGGAGCCGGGGGTGTCCCATGAAAATTGGGGTGTCCACAAAGGAGGGGGTAAGAGTTGACTTGGGAAAACAGTTGGGAGGAGGCTTTGTTAAGGTCTAATTTTTTTAAGTATATCATTACAATAATTAAGAAAAATAACCTACTGAACGATTCATTGCATAACATGTTTTAAAATGAGAAATCTCACAATTTCAGCACATTGAGCTTTTTGAAGCCAACTTTCCTCGTTTGTTATATAAAGAGAGAAAAGCGTCTTTGGTGCCCACTCGAATTATATGAAATCATATGTTTGGATCTCTTAACATAATCCCTGCAATAACAGAGACATAAATTGAGGGGTTGCAGTGCAATGGGTTCCCTTATGTGGCCTTTTTGCCCTGGTTTTGTGGAGGGGGAAAAAAAAAAAACTCAGTAAGGGATTTCCCAAGTTCATTTACATTTCCTGGGTAAGTTGTGGAAACCCTGGTGGCGTAGTGGTTAAGAGCTATGGCTCCTAACCAAAAGGTCAGCAGTTCGAATCCACCAGGCGCTCCTTAGAAACTCTATGGGGCAGTTCTACTGTGTCCTATAGGGTCGCTATGAGTCGGAATTGACTCCACAGCAATGGTTTTTTTTTTTTTACAGGTAAATTGTAAACATCTTGAAGGTTTGTTGCTTTTGTCTGGCTTGGCCTGGTAATTGACAAGACTTGAATTTTTTGACATTCCCTAGGTCGCTGAGGATTGGTTGGGTTGAGATCTGGCTAGGTGACTGTTTGGGCTCCAATCTGGCTAGAAGGATTGGTTGGGCTCCAATCCCGCAAGACAGGCTCCACCTTGAAGTTGACAAGAAATGTCCTATGTAAATGACTGAAAAACAGAAGTTTTGGGGTCCCCAAGAAGGGGAGGTCCATCCTTCAGGACACAGAGGCCCTGCACTGAGGACCCTCCCAGATCTGCCAAGGAGATGTAACACTGATGGAGAGCTGAACCTGGCAGAAAGCAGAGCAGTCAGCAATGACCAGAAAAAGTTAGCAGGCCAGGCACAGAAGTGGTAGCAGAGTGGCCAGAGAGTGGAGTGGGCCTGAATGAAACACAAAGAATTTGGGGGGTTTCTTGACTGAGAGCTGAGAGGGTGGCGCATCCATTAAGACATAGCAGCTGTTGTGCTGGAAAACCTCCAAGACTCAGGTAAGAGAGCTATAACATACTTAGAGGTATGATGGCAACGGAGGCAGCAGCTACAGTAGTACCAGAAGTGGTGGTGAAAACGAGTGGCCCTGAACAGTGGCAGCAGAGTGTAAAGGATGAATCCCTACTGAGTGCTGTAACACTGAGAGCAGTGGCTGCCCTGAGTAGGGGGCACCCTGAGGGCAGCTGTCCACTGGCAGGCAGCATGTCAGTCCCAAGAGTTGCACCTGGCAGGGGGCATTGCTACTCCAGAGAGGCATCATGGAGCATTTGAGAGTGAACAGCAGTTTTTTGGGAAGGGGTAAACAGGTCCTCTTTGAGATGTTCAGGTCTCATTTCTTTTGAGGCTTTGTGCTGGGACCCCTCCCAAATTTGTCCTTCGCATTTTTTCATTTATAGCTTTCCCTATTTATATCTTTATTATATTAGGAGGCCTGGTGGCGCAGTGGTTAAGAGCTCAGCTGCGAATCAAAAGGTGAGCGGTTCGAATCCACCAGCTGCTCCTTGGGAATCCTATGAGGCAGTTCTACTCTGTCCTACAGGGTCACCATGAGTTGGAATCAACTCCAAGGTAATGGGTTTGGTACATTAAAGTTGTTACCACAGATACGGTGTTTCCAGGAGTTCTGTGGATGTAACAAATTGTCAAACCCAGTAGAGAGAGTGCCATGGGAAGGCTGGTATCAGCAATAATTGGGAAGGTGGAGCCAGCTGATGCTGATTCTTATAGCTGAAGTTACAGTTATTCAAGAAGTTATATCCTTTCAGGTGTGCTCCTACTATTTGTACTAATAATACATAGCTATAACTGAATCAATGTAATTCATGTACACTTATCCAAAATTAATAAATTATGAAATTGTAAATATCATCAGGAGAACATAAGTAACTTGTTCTTATTGTTAGCTGCTATCAAGTTGGCCCATGACTCATGGCCACACCATGGACAACAGAATTGAACCACTGTGATCCACAAGGTTAACACTGGCTGATTTTTGGAAGCAGACAGCTAGGCCTTTCTTCCTAGTCTGTTTTAGTCTGGAAGCCCCACTTCCAGAATCATAGCAACACGCAAGCCTCCACTGACAGACAAGTGGTGGCTGCTGCGCTTGAGGTGCACTGGCTGGGAATCGAACCTGGGTCTTCAGCATGGAAGGCCAGAATTCTACTACTGAACAACCACTGCGATCTAAGTAATCTTAAGCGGCAAATAACTAAATGACCCAGAGCACAGAAAGGCTTGTACAAAAGGGTGGTGCTAGTAGCAACAGTTAAGTATAGAAACAATTGCTGGCACTTCCACAGAGACCCATGGAGGAGGTTGTTGTACAGAAAGATGATCAGCAACGTAAGAAGCCAATAATGGCCAAAAAACAACACAGTACTGGGATGTGAACTAAAAAAGAGCAGGTGAACATTATACGAAATTCAGTTTTAAAGGAAGATGAGGAAAAAATTCGTCTTCATATGTTAAGAGTGTAACTATCAGACCTCTAGAAATGTGGAAAATGCAGGCATTATAAGTAACAATGGTGAAGTAGGTAACTGACGTGGCATTTTTGTCCAAGTTGAAGGGTGACCCCCCTCCCTACTGATTGGAGCAGACGGCTGACCGGCTGGGCTGGCACGATGGGTAAATGCTGAGATTAGGGAGACTGGAGAACAAGAAGTACGCTGTACCATCTCCTCTTTAATGAAGGTTCATACACCTTCAGAGCTTAGCTGTATGCAGACCACCCAGACTGGGACAGGGGATGATGAGGAATATCAGCTTAGACCAGTGATTATACAGGAATGGCAGTGGATGCTGATAGACAGGTACATCATGCACTAAGGTGTGGACTTTTACTGAAAAACAGATCCAGGAAATTAAGGATCAGTATGGGCAGAAGGTGAAGAATGCTGAATATACCACAGAATGTCAGAAGAATGCATAAATCTGTCTTGGAAGAACTACAGTCAGAATGCTCCTCGGAAATGAGAACGGTTAGACAAAGTCTTGCTTACTTTGGACATCTTATCAGGAGAGACCAATCCTTGGAGAAGGACATTATGCTTGGTAAAGTAGTGGGTCAGCCAAAGAGAGGAAGACCCTCAAGGAGATGGATTGACACAGTGGCTAAAACAATGGATTCAAGCATAGCAACGATTGTGAGGATGGTACAGGACCAAGGAATGTTTCATTCTGTTGTACATGGGATTACTAAGAGTAGGAATCAGCTCAAC